ATATATATATATATATACACCATTCTTTCTTAAAATTGCTACTTATATGAATGATGAAAATACATCCATTCTCTCCATATGCCTGTTGATTGTGATGTGACTCCTTTCTTTGAGCAATCTATGAAGATGGATAATACTGTATAGAAAAATCATTTCCAGGCTATTAGCCAGAGTGTTTCTCTGCTTTCCTGCTGAAAAGCTGAAAAAGGAATATCTAGCTTTATTCTTTTTTCTCAGGCTTCTCAAAAGACTCCTATAATTTGTAACAGTATGCTTAAATGCTTTGACACCCCTGACCTGTATGCAAATTAGAGCCCTGATAACTAAATTTTCTCTGACCTCTGAATGAATAATCTGCCAGTACTAGCCAGAAGAGAGTGCACCAGACACCCACCACATCACCCCCAACCTTCCCCCATGCTCTCTTTCAGGCTGGAAGGAGAGTGAAGCTAATAGTACTCTGGTTTAAAGTCAGGCCCATTCATGCAAATGGTGGCTCTGATCTGCCTTAACTTAGCAGTACTTCACTATGCACAGAACTCTGCTTAACCCTCTGAAACCCCAGCAACAACCATTTGATTGATACTGGTAAGAATGGACAAATGAGCAAAACAGAATCTGACTGAGATGAAGGTTATAATAATAAGTTATCTTTTACTGGAAGGCATAATTTCTTATTGCAACATGGAACTTTTTTGCATATTTAAGAAACCAGGTGCAATGGTTCATGCCTGTGGTTCATGCCGATGGCTCATGCCTGTAATCCCAGCTACTCAGGACACTGAGGCAGGCAGGAGGATCACAAGTTCAAGACTGGCCTGGGAAACCTAGCAAGACCCAGTCTGAAAAATAAAAAGAGAGAGAGAAGTAAAAAGGGCTGTGGATGTAGTTCAATGATAGAGTACCTCTCTGGGTTCAATCCCCAATACCAAAGAAAAGAAAGGGAGGAAGGAAGGAAGGAAGGCAGGCAGGGACATGGTACCAGTCACAGGATAAATCTATTTCACTCAGGGCTTAAAGAATCCTGGGTGGCCAGGCGTGGAGGATCCTGTAATCCCAGTAACTCTGGCAGCTAAGGTAGAAAGATTGCAAGTTAGAAGCCAGCCTCAGTAATTTAGCAAGACCCTATCTCAAAATAAAAAATGAAAAGGCTAGGGATGTTGCCTAGTGGTAAAGCACCTCTGGGTTCAATTCCCAGTCCTAGGAGATGGGGAGAGTAGGGATTCCTGGGTGCTGAGCTTTCTAGGGGGATGAGGAAGTGTTACCTCTGGGTTTTCTGTTACAGAAAGACTTTTCTAGTCTCAGTGGTTCTCAAAGGGAGAGGAGGGAGGAGTCCCTCTGTCCCATTTGGGACACATTTAACAATGTCCTGGTATATCTTTTGTTATTACAACTCAGCAGGAGGGTGTTGGTGGGTGGAGGGCCCACAACAAAGAATTATTAGCCCAAAATGTCAGTAGTGCCAAGAATGAGAAATGATTCTATGGCAAAATTTGCAAGTGTGGGCCATACTGGCATTTGTTTACTGGTAGATTTTTAATTCATGGAGCTTCCAACCAGCAGACTCCTTGAAAAGTTTGCTTCTTTCTGACAAAGATCCCCAATGAGTAGAGAGGACCTGTCCAAACACAGGAAGTGTGTCGGCTTTGGGTGTGCCCAACACCCTCAGCCAGTCCCAGCATCCAGGTTTGAATGAATTATCTAGCTAGATATACTAACACATGCTAGAGACCAGATTGAAGTGGTAGGCATTTCTTCCTTTATAAAAACTAAAAAATAACTTCTAGGTGTCAATGGCAAGTGCAGTCTGAACTCTCAAGAAGGCTGAGACTAAGAAGGACAAGATTCTCTGCAGCAGCAGCACTTTCCATTGCTGGATAGCCACTAGCACCAGGGCCCTTTCTCCCTTTTTCCCCAAACTACATTTTTCTGGTCTACTTCCTCTCAGTTTTCAAGGTTGGGGGTTCATCTTTTGGAATGACCTAATTCACTCTATTTTCCTTCCTTTCATGAACTTCAGGATGACCACAAACTCAATGATAAAGAATTGGAACAGAAATATGGTACAAACATCAGCAGGGTAAGTCACCAGGAAAATGGTGGGGGGCAGGTCAGAAAGAGAAACCTCCTGACCATTTAAGGTGGTGTGCTCAAGGTACATGGAAAAGTGGAGGCACTTTTAGGATGGGTGACCTACAGCCACACCTATGAGACTTCCCATCATTCACATGTCTGGACCCTGAGATTGGGATGGTTATCTTCTGGGAGCTGGTGTGCCTGACCAAGGTTCAGGCTGAGCTCCTTCACTGAGATGCCTGGGTATAGATAGTTCTTTTTGGTATCCCCAGAAGGGTGTACACATGCTTCCTCATGGTCATGGCCATAGATTGTTTTTAATCCATGCCTCCAGGAAGTATAATGGTGCATTAGGGCTCTTCTTATAAGAGACTAAGGAAGCTCGTGTCACAAAGTGAGAAACCAAATTAACCCTCTGAGAGCCCTATCTGCTTTCTCTGAGAAGGAACAAAGTCTCCAAGCACACTAACATCTTATAAACTCCTTCAGCATCTATAAACTCCCCTACCACAAAAGGAATGTTTCCTTCTGTGAATTCAAATCCAAGTTCAATTTCAAAAGTCTGGGTGTTTTGTCAGGCATGGTGGTATACGCTCTTAAACCCAGCAACTCAGGAGGCTGAGGCAGGAGGCTCGCAAGTTCATGGCCAGCCTCAGCAAAACAATTTAGCAAGGCCCTAAGCAACTTAGCAAGATGCTGACTCAAAATAAAAAGGGCCAAGGATGTGACTCAGTGGTTGAGCATCCCTGGGTTTAATCTCCAGTACCAAAAAACCAAACAAAATGAAACAAAGTTAGGGTGTCTCAATGTAAGAAAATACAGATAATGTCCATCTGGTATTTTTAACTCACAAAAATACTGTGTGGTTCACACTGGGTTGTCAGCAGGCAGGACAAAGAAGGACAGGTCACCTCTCACCTTAAAGAGGCAGATGCATAGGTATATGTAATGTCCACTTTATGCCTCCTGGGTGTCACAGGAGAGGTTGAATCTATACATTAAGAGAAAGGATTCTGGCCAGAGTTACCAGAGTAGTGTTTGAATTGGGACTAAGGAGGACAATTTAGATATACAGAGTACCCGGGAGCCAAAAAGGACATTGTGGGTTTGGAGAACAATCTGGGATTTCTGTGAGCTAGTTAGTATATGTGGAAAGCCAGGAAGAGAGGTAGAGAAGAGGCTGGGGAATGTCATTTAGGTGAAACTGCCAAGCTCTTTCATATTAACGCATTAATTCTCAAGTGTTCAATTCTGCAATATTTCAATGAAATTGACACAGGTGTATTAAAATAGGTTGTAAAACATAATCTAGAGTTTATTATATAATTTATTATCATTAGTAATATTAGTGATAATCACTAATAATATTAATGTTTATCACTAATCTTTCACCTATTGTTTTCCTCAAACTATCACTCATAAATATTTATTTCAAAGTTTCTATAAGTAATATATTTGTGGCTCAGTTTTTTAGGTGTTCCTTAAATAGGACAATGGGACATAATGGGGCAAACTGAGGAACAGGAGCTATATTGTATAAGTAGGTGGGCACAATTTCTAAGATTGGTTTTCAAAAGGCAGTTCTGGTGGAAGACTTTTTTTTTTTAAGTGAGAGATGGAAAGGTCCAGAAAAAAGGATTGAGAAGCCAGGATCAAGAAATAAGGATTTGAAAACTGGAAGCCCAGGAAGATGGGGAAGAAAGAGACAAGGAAATTACCAGCAGCATTTGGTAGGAGGGGAGTTTGAATGAATCCCTAATCCCATTAGCCTAGTTAGAGAAGCAGAAGGAGAAGGGAACTTGATCAGTTGGTATTCTGTAGCAGGCGGATGAAGGTGAGCAAATACAGAAGGTAATAGAGAGGAGATGATGATGAATTTTTATTTTGAATCAATTGCCCCTTATTATCCATAGGGGAATGGTTCCAGGATTCCCCAAGGATTCCAGAAACCATGTATGCTGAAGTTCTCCTATAAAATGATATAATATTTACATATATCTTTCACACACCCTCCCATATACTTTAAATCATCTCTAGATGACTACAATATCAGATTCATTGTAAAAGCTAGGTAAATAGTTGTTGTGCTATATTGTTTAGGGAATAATTACAAGAAAAAAAGTCTGTACATATTCAGTTTTGATGCAACCATCATAGACTTAACTACACTTTTTGTTTGTTCTGGTACTAGGGATTGCACCCAAGGGATTTACCAGTGAACTATATTCCCAATTCTTTTTTATTTTTAATTCTGTGGCAGGTTCTCACTAAATTGCTGAGGCTGACCTCAAAACTTGAGGTCCTCCTGCCTCAACTTCCTGAGTTATTAAAATTATAATCACAGACATGTACCACCACATCTAGCCTTAACTACATTTTTGATATGCAGTTGGTGAAGTTTATGGATGCAGAGGCAAACTGTACTATCAGAAATGTCTCTGAAACAGCCCTGTGGAAATGTTCAATTATTGAGAATGATGAAGATTCTGAGATTCTGAAAAAGGAATTGAAAACAGAGGGTGATAGTATCAAGTTGGTGACTTGGAATTGAGTTATTCAAAAAAGATTTGAGTTGCTAAAACTGAAAAAGCATTAGACACTAGAACACACTAAAAAAATGATTAAAGACCTTGCCTTTAATTAGTTCTCAACACAACTGTGGAGAAAAGATATATACTTCTTGGGGGAAAGGCTATGAAAGTGTAGGATTTCAGGGTAGTGTGCCTCTGCACACCCTTGGATGTCACACTTACCAGGGAAGGAACTGCTCACGTGGCCCTCAGAGTCAGGTAGTATTTATAACTATTATAATGAACCAGAACTTGCAACTTAAGAGTGAGTATATACAAAAGTAGGAAAATAACAGTCTAAGGATAAAAACCTACCTTATGTGATATATGGAATGGATATTTTCTGGATGGTTATATTGTTTGGGGGCTTTTTTTTTGTTTTTGTTTGATACCAGGAATTGGACCCAGGGGCACTGAACCATATCTCCAGCTCTTTTTAATTTTTATTTTGAGACAGGTTCTCACTAAGTTGCTAAGGGCCTAACTAAATTGCTAAAGCTGGCCTCAAACTTGTGATCCTCCTGCCCCAGAGTGGCTGGGATTACAGGCTTGTGCCAACATGCCCTAATGACTAGCTTCAAATTCTCCTCAGCCAAATTACTCCCATCTCTGGCTAAATCTCTCAGAAATGAAATTCCTAAGCATAGCTTCATGTAGCAGCTCTGGAGCCAGTGACCTAGCTGAATCCTGGTGTCCCTGTTTACCGGTCAGGTGACCTTGGGTAGGTTATATACACTCTCTGTGCCTCAAATTCCATATCTGTGAATGAAGGTAATGATAGTACCTTCCTCAGAGGGTTATTCTAGAGAATAAATATATGGGGAGCACTGCTTGACTGATAATGATTATTAAATATTCTTTCAAAGAAGGCAGGTAGAGGAAATGGGGAGAGGTTACCCAAAGGGAACTAAGTTACAGTTAGATAGGAGTAAGGAGTTCTGGTGTACCATTGTACAGTGAGGTGACTATAGATAATGGTAATGTAATATATATTTCAAAAAGCTATGAGAGAAGATTTTGGAAGTTTTTACCATAAGAAAATGATAAATGAGATATATATGCTTAAACATTATATCATGTATACAGGTATCAAAATATCACATGGCACACCATTAGTAAAATAATAATAATTTTTTGGACAAAGTGGGGAGTTGAAAAGATGAGGCATCAGCTTCATCTGCTTTTCCCAAGGCCTTCTTGGGCATGTTGATACCTAAACACAACCTGCAGATATAGAAAGCCCACCCTCTGAGGGAGGAGAAATATCTAATTTCTGTGTTTCTGAATCTGTTTTTCTTGACTTTTTTAGGGTCTCTCCAGCATCAGAGCTGCTGAGCTTCTGGCTCGGGATGGACTCAATGCCCTCACCCCTCCCAAGCAGACTCCAGAGATTATCAAGTTTCTCAAGCAGATGGTGGGGGGCTTCTCCATCCTGCTGTGGATAGGAGCCATCCTGTGCTGGATTGCATATGGAATTCAGTATGCCAGTGATAATTCTGGATCCCTAGACAATGTAAGCCACCTTCCTGGTTTTGCTTAGCAACAGGGAGGAACATAGTCAGACCCATTAGGTACAAAGGGGGCTAGAGGCAGGAATTCTCCCAGCTGTAAAACAATAGATATCTGAACTACTACTACTTCTTCTTTTCTTTCTTTTTTTTTTTTTTTTTTGTGTGTGTGTGTGCATGCGCACATGCACACATGTGGTGCTAGGGATTGAACCCAAGGCTACATGCATCCTTGGCAAGTGCTGTACCACTTAGCTACCCATGTAAGCTATACCTATCCCTGGATACCTGAGTTTTTCATATCTCAGAGGCAGTATGAGCATGAGTTTTAAAAGAGACAAAACACCCGAGTTTCTAAGGGAAAAACATATCTTTATACCCATGAAATATTTTGGAGCTCTCTTTCCTCAAAGCTAATTTTGCCCTTTACCATGGGGGCAGTTATGCCTACTAAGAACTGAGTGCCGTACCCTCAAAACTGAATCTTCTGATACCATGCTAAAGAAGGAAGCCAAACGTTGTATGAGGCCACTGATATGAAATATCCAGATATGCACGTCCCTGGGGACGGGGGCACGTCAGTTGCCAGAACTAGTGATGGGAACCAGGTGTGATTATTGAAGGGTATGATGGACAACAAGTGTTTCCAATTTCAAATTTTAGGGGATTTTGGAATATCTGCATATACATAATGAGATGTCTTTGGGGTAGTGCCCAAGTGTAAACACAAAATTTGTTTCATGTTCATTTATATATATTTACTTGGCCTGAAGGTAATTTTTTGCAATGTTTTTAGTGTGCCTGTATTGTGACTATGACCCATCCCATGAGGTTGAGTATGGAATTTATCACTTTGGTGTCTTTGGTGCTCAAAACTTTTAGATTTTGGAACATTCCAGATTTTGGATTTTCAGATTAGGAATGTTCACCTGGTACCTGTTTCTCTTGACTGCTGTCTCTTCTCATGCAGGTGTACTTGGGCTCTGTACTTGCACTGGTTGTTATTTTAACGGGGATCTTTGCTTATTACCAAGAGGCCAAAAGTACCAACATCATGGCCAGCTTCAGTAAGATGATTCCCCAGGTGAGTAGCAACTACCCTCCTCTGGTCCTCTTGTGATTTCCAGGTGAATAGGTAGGCAGCCTTGGTCCTATCCTGTTTTCTGGGGATTCTTGGTTGGGCTACTTCTCTCTCTGAACCCCAGTTCCTCACAGGGTTTTGACACTGTCAAGTGAAGAGAGATCCAAGAAATGTTTAGTCAAGGGAAAAGCAGAACAGTCATTGCACAACATCCTCTACACCATTTAGAATGTCGTTCAGGGGGTTCCAGAATTTTCCTTCATTGGCAGCTAAGGAGATCCACCTGTGCATCTCTTGTGACTGCTTTCACTTTCAAAGCATGTTGCCCCAAAATGCTCTTATTCCTCCAGCAACTTATGTTAGGTGTCCACAGCAGGGAAACCTGGCCTAGGTCCAGAGAATTGTCAAATGAAGGAAAAAAATCTGGAGAAAAAGATGTTCCTGCTGTGCTAAAAAACAGGATACCACCTCATTAAAGTCCTCCCCACTTCAGCAAGGTTATTAAACCTTTCAACTCAGTATTCATCCTTGATGCCTTGCCAGGTGGCTCACCTTTGATCTACTTTCTTTCTGTGAGGCCCAGCTCCCACTTTGCCATGTTGCCAAATAACTGCTTTTCCTGCTTTCAATAACAGAGCTCAATTTAAAAATAGTTCTTAGGATCTTCAGACCTTAGGTGACATAGTCTTCAGTTTCATCTGTGCATTCTGACAGTTAATGGGTTCCATGCCCCTGTCCTGGGATTCAGTGAAATACAGAAAAAGGAGGAGGGCCAGCATCATCACAAGGTCTGAGATGTCTGCCATGGTTTTCTTCTGCAGCAAGCTCTTGTTATCCGTGATTCAGAAAAAAAGATAATTCCTGCAGAGCAGCTGGTGGTGGGGGACATTGTGGAGATTAAAGGAGGAGACCAGATCCCTGCGGACATCAGGCTGCTGTCTTCTCAGGGGTGTAAGGTGAGCATCAGGGAACACCCACCTTGAAGCTCCTGCTCGGAGCTGACAGGTGTTCTGTTCTTTCCCAATCTTGGTAGAAGAGGCAGGAAACAAGGTGCCTAATTTTGAGTTCTTTTCAAAATTTCTTCTAGGTAGATAATTCGTCTCTCACTGGGGAATCTGAGCCCCAGTCTCGTTCAACTGAGTTTACCCACGAAAACCCCCTGGAAACAAAGAACATAGGCTTCTATTCTACAACCTGTTTGGAAGGTAAGACCAGTTGTCTGTCAGCCACAAGTCTGACCTGTACCACTTCTCCTTCTCAGGCCTGATGTTTTTGTCTCTCCTGTCCCTTGGTATAAATATTTACCCAGAGGAAACATGGAACTGAAGGTTCCAGAGGACCAATGTTGGCCTTTATAATATCATGTGCTGATTGCATAAGCCACCAGAGAGGGCTGTCGGTAGGACTCCTGGAGTAAAATGTCTACTTCCCCTATAGGCACAGCAACCGGCATGGTCATCAACACGGGTGACCGCACCATCATTGGTCGCATAGCCTCCTTGGCTTCAGGTGTTGGAAATGAGAAGACGCCCATTGCCATTGAGATCGAGCACTTTGTTCACATTGTGGCAGGCGTGGCCATCTCCATTGGCATCCTTTTCTTCATCATCGCGGTGTCCATGAAGTACCATGTCCTGGACTCCATCATCTTCCTCATTGGCATCATTGTGGCCAATGTTCCTGAGGGCCTCCTGGCCACTGTCACTGTGAGTCCACACTGTTAGGCAGCCTGCATTTCCATAGTGTTGGCACCTACCATTGCTGCTGGGGAGGCTCCTACCCACAAACTACAGCCTCCTTTCAACAACATATCCTCCCTACCAGGGACCACCATGGAACATTCTGAATAGACTGTTTCTTATAGGAACTGACTGAGACTACCATTTACAGGTTTTTCTAGACCCCTAAATGCCTTCCCCACATTTCTTTAAAACAACAACAACAAAAATCTTCCTTGGTAGTTTCCACAACCTAGGAATTGGACACATTCTCTCTTCCTTCTCTCAGGCCAAAAAAAAAAAAAATCCTCTATTTCTTTTCTGTAGAAGAATTCAGCCCTGTTCTTCTTGTCTCTCCCTGTGTTAAGGACCATCTCATTCAGTCCTCAGATAAAAGGCTCCTCCCAGTCTGTGTCTTGGAAGCCCACAGGGTTGGGGAGGAGGAATTCACACTCCCATCTTATAATTACAATGGCCTATGTTGCCCTGGCCAAAGACAAGAGAAGATGTTTCAAGTCTCTTGTGACTCTAGGAGATAATAATTTGAAGAAAGTAAAAAAAAAAACAAAAAACAAAAAAAAAAAAACTTTGAGATCTGGATGTTTCAAAGGATCTTTAAAATAAGGAGCTTGTAAAATGTAACACTGGGGCTAGCACTGTAGTCAGTGGTAGAACACTTGCCTAGTATGTGTGAAACCCTGGGTTCAATCCCTCACTACCTTAAAGAAAAAAAAACACAAATGTTTCTTAAGGTCCCAAAGCAACATGTGAGTCCTTGAGGACAACCTCTTTGGTCTATAATAGTCAAGGTCTCTTTTACCCATTCATGCTCATGAGTGACAGGGGCTAGGTGGCTAAAGTTTCCCCACCGCTCCCCACTCCATCCCCCAATGCTGGGGATCAAATCTAGGGCCTCTGCCTGTTAGGTAAGTGCTTTACCACTGAGCTATACCCCAGCCCTCCACATTCCACTTTGGAATTATACATGTTCCCAAACTGCAGCCATGCAGTCTGTCTGTTATCTGTGGGCCCCCAGAAGCATTTTCTTCAAGGAATGAAGGGACAAGAATACTACCCCATATTTAATTTAAGAAAAAATATTGTGGCTTATAAGGCTTTTGGTAGCTTTTAAGTCACTAGATAAACCTTGCTGCATTGCCAACTATATCTTTGGTCTAAAAATTTTCCAGCTCTCTCCTAAAATCCCAATTACACCTAACTTCTGTGATTAAACCTGAATTCAAAATGATTATTCCCAAAGCCTCCTTTGCTCTTTCCTTTCAGGTTACCCTGTCACTAACAGCAAAACGGATGGCCAAGAAGAACTGCCTGGTGAAGAACCTAGAGGCAGTAGAGACCCTCGGCTCTACCTCCATCATCTGCTCAGACAAGACCGGAACCCTGACCCAGAACAGGATGACTGTGGCCCATTTATGGTTCGACAACCAGATCTTCGTGGCTGACACAAGTGAAAACCAATCAAGTGAGTTTTCTAGAGGGTTTATTCAGACCCAAATCTATAGACTCAAGCAGAGGGACTGGCTGAGTATAGCAGCCAGTCTCAAACAGGGTGTGAAGGTTGTGACTTGGACATGACAGGCCCAGCATTCACAGTGACCACTGGTCTTTCTCTGTGTTCCAGACCAAGCCTTTGACCAAAGCTCTGGAACATGGGCCTCCTTATCCAAAATAATAACATTGTGTAATCGAGCTGAGTTCAAACCAGGACAAGAAAGTGTCCCCATCATGAAGGTAAAGCTGCTACAGCTCTTGGTCTAGCCAGTGCAAGATCACTTTTTCTGTTCTCTTGGGCACTTGATATAATTTCTCTAGCTGTGTGAAGTTTGCACTAGTAAGAGCAGATCCCAACTCATAGACAGACATAAAGTTTTCTTCACTCTATCTAGTTATGAGAAATCACAGATGATCTCAGGATACTCGTTTAGGACCTTTTGAAAATTCTCTTATTCCAGAAAATGAACGTGTCTTTAAGTTGCTTTCCTAACTTTTTTACAAGCTAAGTGAAAATAAGCAAAGTTTTGTTTTGTTTTTATTATATAAATGCCATTCACTAAAGTTTAAAGTGTAATTGAATGGAAATAAAGGGACTGATCTTAATATATAGTCCTCTTGACTAGAATGTGGTGGCAAATGGAGTGCCAAGAATATTGGAATATTGAAATATAAAATAAACTCTGGGCACCATGGCACATGCCTGTAATCCCAGCAACTCAGGAGGCTAAAGCAGGAGGATCACAAGTTTGAGACCAGCCTTACAACTTAGTGAGACCCTATCTCAAAATTAAAAATGAAAGAGGCTGGGCATATAGCTCAGTGACAAAATGCCTCTAGGTTCAATTCCCAATTCTGCAAATAAATAAAAAATAAAGTAAAATAAAACTCTTTTTTTCCTCTTTCCCTTTTCCCCATCTTTCTCCCCCTCCTCATTCTCTTCTCCTCCCTCTTCCCCCTTTTCCTTCTCTCTCTTACCTTCTTACTTCTTCCCTTCTTTATTTTCTCTTTTCCATCTCAGTGAGCCACTGAATCTGTTTTCCTGGCTTTTCCATTTGCCAACTTTTCTGCACTGATTATTCCACTTTCTCGTATTTTTGGTGTGTTTATCACAATACCTTGCATCCAATACCTTGGACCAACCTCTTCATGGGCTTTGCTGATTCTAGTTAATTCCTTCCCATGATGGTCATTTTCACATGCCTCTAATTTTCCTCAGATATTGAATGTATCATCACCTAACTTTGATAAAAATCTTCCTGTGATTCCCTATTTTCTACTTCTTGAGTCTAGATTTCAGCTTGCCTTTCATGGACCTCCAAATCTTGCCACACCCTCTATGTCCAACCGTACCTCCAACACTCACAATGCAACCTTCACTGTCCACTGTGGTATAGCTCAAATCCTCCAGTCCTCATAGAGCTCCCACTTATTTGAAATTTTCTAGTACTGGTAGGTGACAGCACTGTTTTACACTCTTACCATGGTCCGGATTCAGTTATTGATGGTCACATGAAAGCCTTGTCTCTTCGGCTAGATGGTAAGCTTAGTCAGGAGACATGTTAGTTCTTGTGCTAAAGGCATGTAGGTTCATTAAACACTGTCACACAAGAACCAGAGTATTTGCTGTAAATATTTATTTCTTTTGGTTCCCAGAAAGTCGTGGTTGGAGATGCCTCGGAAACTGCTCTTTTGAAATTCTCAGAGGTCATTTTCGGTGATGTGATGGAAATTAGAAAAAGAAACCGCAAAGTAGCTGAAATCCCTTTTAACTCTACAAACAAATTTCAGGTGAGTTTTTCCTCACAACTGGCAATATTTGTTATCACTGCAACAACACTTCTACTTGCATGTATTCATTGGTTAACCCACAATTTGATTGATACCTGCTTTTAAAAATAATCTTTGGGATTTAGGGTCAGAGCATCTGGTAAGCCCAAGTCAATGTTCCTTTGTTAGCCTCCTTATTTCCATGAAATAGAGAAAAACAGAAAGGCAAAGACATGATCAGGGTCTGCTGCTTCTGTAAATGATCCATCTATATTACAAATTGTGTGTGTGTGTGTGTTTCAAACACACACCATTACCACCTTTTGCACAAAGGATACACACAAAGGATCAATGAGAGATGGGAAAAGTGGGTAAAACTAGCATTCATTGCTTAACTAGTACCCTTACTAGATCCTATGTACCCTCAAGTTTTACAACCTTGGATTCAATGAACCATGGATCAAAAACAATTGGGAACAAAAAAATTACACAGACAATTTCTTGTCATTATTCCCAAAACAATAGCATGTACCAGCTGTTTACTTAACACGTATATTGTGTTAGGTAGTATAAGTCACCTAGAGTGCAGAGAATGGGCAGATGTGCATAGGTTTTATGCAAATACTAGATCTTCTTTTTTGGAGGGTATCAGGGATTGAACTCGGTAGCACTCAACCAATGAGTCACATCCCCAGCCCTATTTTGTATTTTCTAATTTAGAGACAAGGTCTCACTGAGTTGCTTAACACCTTGCTTTTTGCTGAGGCTGGACTATCCTCCTGTCTCAGCATCCCAAGCTGCTGGGATTACAGGCGTGTGCCACCATGCCTGGTAAGATCATTTTATATGAAAGACTTGAGCATTTGTGGATTTTGGTATCCCAGGAAGTACTGAAATTAATCCCTTAAAGATAAGTCTGACTCCAAAGTCCATGCATTTTCTACTACACATAGGCTTTGCCCTAAGGAAAATAAGACTCCTCAGATGACTAGTCACATTGTTTTCTGGTTCTAGCCCATAGGCCATTGGTAGGTATTTTTTTTCTAACCACTGCTCAGGAAAAACTTGGCCATCCTTGTTTAATTATTCTACATTACTCCAGGGATGGCCAACAATCAGCCATCTTCATCTTCCTGTTCAACAAATGACTCTTTGTAGCCCAAGGTCCTGTTACACATGAGAGAATCCCAACCTAAGATGGATGGATCAATACTTGGGCTTTATATATACAGTGAAGTAGTCATATGTTGCTTAATGATGGGGATACAATCTTCTAAGAAATGTGTTGTTAGATGATTTCATCATTATGCAATCATCATAGAGTATACCTACACAAACCTACTGCACACCTAAGTTATATGGTAGAGCCTGTTGCTCCTAGGCTACAAACCTGTAAAGCATGTTACCATGCTGAATACTGTAGGCAACCCCAACACATGTAAGTACTTGTGTATTTAAACATATCTGAATGGTAAAAATATTAGGCAGTAAGAAATTTTAGCTCCATTATAATCTAAGGGACCATTATGATATATGTAGTCTCTCCCTGACTGAAACATCATTGTGTGGCACATTGTGTGGCATACTATGTATAAATAGGATAACCATATGTTTGTAGAAATTTCTGATGATTATCTATCCACCTTTGTTTGGATGAAATTTAGGCTTGATGAAGAACTATTTGTGTCACAAACATCTTCTTTCTGGATAGTAGCTAGTCATGGTTAGCTAACTAGACAACTCACAAAAATGTATATGATATTAAAGCCAGGAAATTATCTCTTATTTGAAACTTAAGTGAAAATAGAAGGAGTAATGATCATAAGATAACAGCAGTACTAGTAGCTAGTTTGTGCTAATTTCTACATGTATTCAATCATTCATTTTCATAATGACTTTACAAGGTAAGTAGAGGATGAGGAAATTAAGGTATAAAGGATTGGAACACAGCTAGAGAGGGCCAGAGTCAAGATTTCAAGCGGGGCTAGGTAGTCCATCCTGGAAAAGTCAAGGCTAGGTGATCTTTTAAGCAGAAATAAGACTCAGAATGTTCCTGAGGTGCCATCTACCATGGCAAAGGCATTTTCTGTCATGAGAAATGAGAGTAGGTTCCATTAGGCCTCATGTATAACACATTGGAGTAGAAAGTGAAGCTGGGACCAGAAAGGGGAAAGAGGGCCTATGTGAGCTCCCACTGTAAAGGTCAGCCCAGGTCAATATTGGGGGCCATTAGTGCAACACTGTATACAGAGCTTTAGACAGTGTGGCATTGGAGTTCTATATGTATCATTCAGTGGAAGCAAAGAAAGTGGAAAATCTGTATCTTATTGATCTTGGAATAGCCATACTCCAAACAGACTGTCCATGAGAATTTTTTTTTAAGTCATTATCTCTTACTAAGTTGCTTAGGGCCTTACTAAGTTTCTTTGCTGAGGCTGGCCATGATCCTGTGATTCTCCTGCCTCAGCCTCCTAGGTTGCTGGGATTACACCACACCCTACTCCATGAGAATATTATTTAGGGCACATTGGAAAATTAAGAAAATGCTTCATAGTTTTCTATAAAGATGAATGCATGTAATTGAAAAGATTATTCTTTACATCCTCCATGATTCAGGACAGGTACTCTAGAACCTGCTAGCTTGGGTTTAAATGCCAGCCCAGTACCTACTCATATGTGAACTTGAGCATATCATTGAACCTTCTCTGAACCTCAGTTTCCACCTTCACACATGGTGATAAAAATAGTGCTCAGGGCCTTAGGGTTTTTTGTTAGTTTGCTTGCAGTGTTAAGGTTTGAACCTGGGGCTTCGTGCATGCTAAGCAGATGCTCTGCCAGTGAACTATAACACCCTCCCTGCCATATCTTTTGGGAAATGACAGTGATAATAGTTGGGAGTATTTTTTGGTTTGAGTTGGGTGGGGTTGGGTTTTGGTTGGTTGGTTGCTGTTGCTGTTGCTGTTGTTTTAATGTCTTTACTTGACCACAAGGAAAAATAATAATTTTTAAAAGCTGGCAACCTATTTGCATTTCTTTTTCCAATTGAACTCATCTTTAATATCTCAGGCCAAGATCTACTGGTGTGGAATCAACTCTTGAACTCAAAATGGTAGCATTTTTCTTTGTATTTTCTACCAAAGACTGCAAATTTCAAAAGCTACCTGGGGCTTGGGGAGCAGAGTTTCCTGAGGCCAACTACAGTGGCACACACCTATAATTCCAGCAACTCAGGAGGATATGGCAGAAGGATCACAAGTTCCAGGCCAACCTCAGCAATTTAGCAAGGCCTTAAGCAACTTAGTAAGACCCTGTCTTAATATAAAACATAAAAAGAGATGGGGATGACCCGGGGGTAATGACACACACCTGTAATCCCAGCAACTTGGAAGGCTAAGGCAGGAGGATCACAAGTTCAAGGCCAGCTTCAGCAATTTATAGAAGTCCTAAGCAATTTAAGAGAAATCCTGTCTCAAAATACAAAATAAAAAGGGTTGGGGTTGTAGCTCAGTGGTAAAGTGCACCTGGGCTCAATCCCTGGTACCAAAAATAAAAAAGGGGCTGAGGATATATAGCTCAGTGGTAAAGTACCCCTGGGTTCAATCCCTGGTACCAAAAGTGGAAGTGCTGGGGATGAAGTTCAGTGCTAAAGTACCTCTGGGTTCAACCCCCAGTACCAAAAAAAAAAAAAAAAAAAAAAATCCCTGCTGCTCTCAGAGCTCAGGTCTGAAAGATACTTATCTGCTCACCAGAGGCTGGGAAAGACGGTAAGACACAGAGACTATGAACTTCAGACTCTCAAGAGCTCCCTGGGAGAGCTTGTTCCAGAAGGAGAGCCACATATGGCCTCCTTAATGCAGTCAGTGTCTGTCTGAAAGACAAGCTTCACTTAATTTGGAATCCAACTCACTGTGCCCCTCTGAGCCAGGGTCAAGTCTAGGATTCTGCATATTAATTGAACACAAAAATAAAAAGGATAGGATATGCCTAGAGATGTCATTATTCCTCTCCCTCCTTTATACTTTAAAGACACATGGAAAGAAAGGAGTGTGTTTCCCCTTCTTGTCCTATTATTAGTTGGAAGAGCCATGGTAAAGATGCTTTATCTAACATGACCATGGTAAAGATGCTTTATCTATCAATTCATGACCTCCCAGCTCTCCATACATGAGACAGAGGACCCCAACGACAAGCGCTTCCTCATGGTGATGAAAGGGGCTCCCGAGAGGATCTTGGAGAAGTGCAGCACTATAATGATCAATGGTCAGGAGCAGCCACTGGACAAAAGCACTGCTGCGGAATTCCATACAGCCTACATGGAGCTGGGTGGGCTGGGCGAGCGTGTGTTGGGTGAGTACAGACCATAGGACCCCTGTCCATCTCCCAGGAGGTATGGAATAGGCGGCCTCATGAGCTAACAGTAGTGTGGTATCACATGGGTCATACAGTCATATAAAGAAGGACACAAAAGGCTAGGGCTATACCTCAGTGACAGAGCACATTTGTGAAACACTGCCTCTCATGTTTGATCCCCAGCACTGCAAAAAATATACACATATATGATAAACAGGATGTAACATATAAAAATGTGATGACACCAAGGAGAATGGAGTCACTTGTAGACAAGCAAAATCAAAGACTTTACGGAAAGAGTGACATTTCAAAACTGGGCCTTGAATGGTGGTATTCAGAGAGGTGGGGGAGAGTATCCATGGAGAAGAAACAACAAAGGCCAAGCAGAGGCAGAAAGGGATAGGATTTATGCATGCAGGATGAAGCTACCCAATTCCTACAGACCTGCAGCGTAAATGAGATGGTGCAGGTATGTGAAGAGGGGCTGGAAAATAGATTGGAGATCATGATATGGAGCCCTTGAATATGTTGCAAAGAATTGGGGTTTCATCCTGCAGTTAGTAAAGAACACCCTAGTCTTGAAGCAAGGGGGAGCTGGTTAGAGTTAACAATACTTCTTAAGGATAATCTTTGGTGGTAGTAAGGAGACCTAAACCTTAGCAGGAGGTGACTATACTAATTCAGGTAAAGGGGGTGGGAATTTGATGCAAGGCTACAGGAATGCAAAGGAGAGGTCAGGTGCCAGAGCCTTCGTGGAGGCAGAGTGGTTAAGATTTAGTAACAGATTAGAGAAGAATACTGACAAAAAATGATTTAGCCTTCCATTTCGCAAGTAGGAATAAAAGTAATACCAGTAACTGAGATAGGGCATGTTAGTGGTGGAAGGAACCTTAAAAATAGAGCCACTGTGGTAAAAGAAGGGGTTTCATGGGAGACAATGTGGTTCATTGTCAGAATCATGGATTGACCAAATGGCACCTCCTGTTCAGAACCACATAATGATGAATTCAAGGAAACAGAAGCTCACAGTTGAAGGATAAGGCTCATTAATCACAGGAAAATGCTTACCAATAGATATGGAATCCATGGAATGTGTTTCTAAAAGGTATATGAGTTTGTAAAGCAGATAAAATATACAAATGAGCTGTTAGTGATTTAAGTATGCCCTCAGTAACCCACAGCACCAAGTAATCTTTTCAACACAGGGTTAGTCCCTATCTGATAGAGTCACTCCGAGATCCTCATATTTGACCACTCAAAGTCTGGTTTACTGAAGTGTGTAAAGCAGCGGGCCATGCTGAGAACTAATTTGGTGTAAAAGCCAAGGAAAGGGTCACCCAAATATAGGTCACCAGATACAGGAATGCCTTTCTACCCCAACCTGAGACAGGCTAATACCTAGGAGACAAGGATGGGTCTACCCCATTTCTAATGGCTTTTCTCTTGTACTGTGTGTGTGTGTGTGTGTGTGTGTGTGTGTGTGCGCGCGCGCGCGCACATGTGCTGGTGGTGCTGAGATTCAGTGTGGGGCCTCACACATTCTAAGCAGACACTCTGCCACTGAGCTGTACCCCAGCCCTCTTGTACTTATCTTAATGAAGGACTAGACTTCTTAACACTCCCCAGACATCCTGAGTTCTTTCCTCATTTTGTGCAGTAGCATGTATTGGTTTCTCTATAGAAAATGGCCTTCCAACCCCTAGGAAATCTCTCCTGACTCTCTAGATATCTGAAGTGTTGCTCTACTCTGCAATCCATAGCATGTCTTTTGATGATTTGTCTCTTTAGTGCTCTGTTGGCCCACTAAATGGAGACATCAGAATAAAATGCTATCCATTTTATTTGTCTTGGTCTTTATATCTCTAGAACATAGCATAGAACCAATTGAGCACACACTAAATTATTTTTGAATGAAATGTGTCTTTCCTAAAGAAAACATATATTATGGAATTGAAGGATTTAAATGATTCTGGTATATGACTACTTTATTGGTAAAGTAGTCAAGGATTGAGAATGTATCAACATAAAAAAAAAAGAGAATGTATCAACATGTTTGCCCTTTCCTTTTTTTGTTTTTGTTTGTTTGTTTTTTGGTGCTGAGAATTTAACCCACACACTCTACCACTGAGCTACATGCCCCCAGGCCCCCTTTCCTTTTGTCATTCCTTATCCAGTTTCATTGACTTCCAAATTCATGTCCATTCCAGGTTTCTGTCATCTCTACCTGCCAGCAGACAAGTTTCCAGAGACCTACTCATTTGATATAGACACCATTAACTTTCCTACCTCCAACCTCTGTTTTGTGGGGCTCTTGTCGATGATAGATCCCCCTCGGTCTACTGTGCCAGATGCAGTTACCAAATGCCGGAGTGCAGGGATCAAGGTGGGAGTTATTTTCCTGATTCAAAAAGCCCTCCATTTATGTTGCAACACTTTATCAGAATATTGTTGTAGGATATGGTCAGTATTTAGGTCTACTCAAGTAAATGTCATAATCCCCCCTTTTTGAGTCCCTATCTTCACTGTGTTCAGATTTCAGTAACTGTCTCATAAAAGCAAAATTATTGTATCTATGTGGAATGAACCACCACAGAAACTACGTCAAGAAGAATCTCCCAGTGCCATGAATTAGCCATGTCTTGCCCTAGACCATGATAGATGATAAAAGATTTTACTAGTCTTGAGGTTTAGCCTCCATAATCCATTTATTGTCATGATATTTAAGCCAAAATATGAATTCTATTACATATTACCATATTAGTATCAAGACTACTGAAGCTGCTCAGGGCTGTCTCAAATAGACATCTATAGGCCTCCTCACAAATACAGTGACATGGAAGTAGAAGAGTGTCCTCCAATGTCAGAGGAAGAAATCTAAGAAGCCCAGGAGCAAAGATAGACTCAGTGGGATCAGTGTGTCCTTCATAGTACTTGTGTCTTAGATTAAAATTGTCCATAGGGAAAACAATAGCTATTGCTAACAATATTCTACCTAGTCCTGGCAGAGTAGGTGACATGGAACCATTGTCCCTACTTTGGCCAGCCAAATTCCTCATTATCCACAAGTCATTGTTATCTGTGTTCTAGGTTATTATGGTTACAGGTGATCATCCCATCACAGCCAAAGCTATTGCCAAGAGTGTAGGGATTATTTCAGCTAACAGTGAAACAGTGGAAGACATTGCAAAACGCCTCAACATTGCTGTGGAGCAAGTTGACAAACGGTAAGCACAGAACCAATATCACAAGTTCTTACCCAGGGGTCTTTTTTGGTTCTGGAGCAGATCACCTTTTTGCCAAACACTATCTCAGGGTAATGCTGGGTTGATTTGATCTATAATTCACATATTCATTCATTCATTTCAACTTTTATTATGTATCTGTGCCAGGCACTCTATTGATAGCATGAGAATGAACCTTTATGTATTCTTTGTCTGAAATTTCAAAATTCAATGAAGTATAGCATGTGTAGCTTAACAACAGGGAAAAGTTCTAAGAAATGCAGTTTTATCATTGTATAAACCTCAGAGTATACTTGAGTCCAGGAGTTCAAGACTAGTCTGGGCAACATAGCAAGACCTCATCTCAAAAAATTAAAATTATAGGATTATACATTTTCATACAAATTGCCACACTGAACAGCAGAATGAAGTGAATACTTTTGTGAATGTTTTATTTTATCCCCTTCTTTACCTCTGACTTTATGAAGATATAATAATATAGTCTGGCAGCTGTAAAAGGGCAAAAAAACATTCTTTCCTTTCCACCTTACCTTGTTATTTTTTACGAGCAGTTATGTAGACTTATGGTTTGAGTCAAGTGCTAGAATTGCAGTATTTAGCACCAAGAGGGGAAAAACAAAATTTGAAAAACTAAAAATTTACATAAACTTAAAGAAAAAAGGCAGATTTGAGATTTGAAGGCTAAAATGTGGAGTTTTAGCCAAGGGAAACTGAGGTGAGAGATGCCTATTCCTACAAGGAAGATCTGTGCAGTCCTTGGGGCAGTGGAGGTATGGGGTCTCCATTTGGTAGACTGGGGAGGAGAGCCAAGAGGAGGTAAAATTCAACCGCTCGGGCCACACACACTGGCCTTCCTGACAATCCAAGTTAAGAATTCTGGAGTCTGCCAGGACCATGGTAGAAAATTCCTGAAGAGTTTAGCTAAGGAATGGTACAGTCAAATATTTATAATCAAGAATCCCTAAGGTCAGATGCATAGGCACAGGCCTGTAACCCCAGAGACTCAGGAGGCTGAGGCAGGAGAATCACAAGTTGGAGGCCAGCCTCAGCAACTTAGTAAGACTCAGTTTCAAAATAAAAAATTTTTAAATCCCTGTTATAATATCTAGCTGGGGTTACAGGCTTATGTCACCATGCCCTGCAGAACCTTATTTGTGTAGTCAGCAGACAATAATTTTGCTCAAAGAAGACTTCTGGGGCTGGGGATGTGGCTCAACTGGTAGCGCACCCGCCTGGCATGCGCAAGGCACTGGGTTCGATCCTCAACACCACATAAAAATAAAAATAAAGATATTGTGTCCACCTAAAAATAAAAAATAAAAAAGACTTCCTCCTACAGAGCACATTGCACACAGTAGCCTTCTATAAACCTGAAATAACAGCAAAGAATTATTACCTATGTGTATTGATACAAGAGAATTTCAGGACCCATTTTTTATTTTTATTTTATTAATTTATTTATTTATTGTGGAGTTAGGAACTAAATTCAGGGCCTCATTCATTATAAGGAAGAACTCCACCACTGAGCTAAACACCCCGCCCTGAACAGGCAGATTTTTGACTTTCCTTTTCCTTGCCCCCAACCCCATGAAGCATCACTTCTATCCATTCCTGCAAAGAAAAGGCTACTTGGCATTTGATTCCTAGGATACCAGGAAATGGCCTTATTTTTTAGCCTCAGTTTACTATTTTTAAATGGAGACCAAAGTGTCCCTAGTACCTATCATCAGTAAGACCTCACTAGACATCCAGTGTCAAGGATGTTATATTCTATGTGATGACATTAAAGAAGCTTACTGTTGCCCATAACAGTGTTTCAACCTAAGATCTGGCTTTGTGCCTCACTTACTTTCTTCTGGCCCTTGTAGGGATGCTAAAGCTGCTGTGGTGACTGGCATGGAGCTGAAGGATATGAGCCCAGAACAGCTGGATGAGCTCTTAGCCAACTACCCAGAAATTGTCTTTGCCCGTACATCCCCTCAACAGAAGCTGATCATTGTGGAGGGTTGTCAGAGGCAGGTGGGTGGATGACTGATCAAACCCATCCTGTCCATGGGCAAATGCAGAGCAGAGATCAGGTGGGCTGACACCCTGTCCTCTTTTGAAACCCTCGCATGGCCACATATTCTCCGTCTCTCTGCATTTTATCATGAGTACCTGGGGTTTCTGACAGCCAGGCATTTGCACTGTGGTAGGTGTGGATGTAGAAAATTTAGAAGTGTAAAAATATAACACAAAATATGTGAAGGCATAAGATACAGTCATGCCTTAATATCCCAGGGGATTTTTGAAGACTTTTTTTCATTTGCACCTACATACTTCCCATATACTTTAAATCTTTAGATTTCTTAAAATACCTAAATACAATGTAAGTGCTATGAAAATAGTTTTATACCATATTGTTTAAGGAACCATGACAAGAAAAGATTCCGTGCATGTTCTGTTTCCAATATTTTCTATTCTCAGTTGGTTGAATCTGCAGATATGGGTGGGCCAACTATGCAAGACACCTCTGTTTACTTGTCACACACATTGGTTTTTGTATGGTTTTGTTTTTTCATGTAAACACACCTTGTTTGGAGCTCCTTGATCTTGTTTCTGAGATTTCCCATCTTTATTTTTCTTCCCAATGGGCCTTTCATTTGAGCTATAGTAGTCCTACAGCTCAAATTGAAAGGCAGGCCATGTTTTTCTTGTTCATCCTATGGCCCCTTAGACCTACTCTGTCTCATTTTTTCACTGGGTACCCATAGGATGCAGTTGTTGCTGTGACAGGAGATGGAGTAAATGATTCTCCAGCTCTAAAGAAAGCAGACATTGGGATTGCCATGGGGATAGCAGGTTCTGATGCTGCCAAAAATGCAGCCGACATGGTCTTGCTGGATGACAACTTTGCATCTATAGTCACAGGAGTGGAGGAAGGTGAGTGGGAGTCTCGGGGTGTCTTCCCAAGGACTGGAGTTGCCTGGGGGACTAGAAGCAAGTCCTATAATGAGACATCTTTGTCCAGGTCGCCTGATCTTTGACAACTTAAAGAAGACTATTGCGTATACCCTGACCAAGAACATTGCTGAACTTTGCCCCTTTTTGATCTACATCATTGTTGGGCTCCCTCTTCCCATTGGCACCATCACCATCCTGTTCATTGACCTGGGCACAGACATTGTAAGTGGCGCTAAAAGGAACAGAGTCTGATAACAGCCCCAGGGGATATAAAGTTCAGGGTTGTTTCTTTCAAGGGCCATGAGATAGACAATAATAGTCGGTGCTCTTAAACTTCCCTGCAATGGGTTCTGAAGTTCTGTATTGCCAACAAGCTCTCAGGTGACATCAGTTCCGCTGGTCCACAGACCACACTCCAAAGCAAGAGACTTAGGACATTTGTCAAGTGTTTGGAAATTAAAACCACTTCACTCTGGGGATGTAACTTAGTGGTAGAGTGCTTGCCTAGCATGCACAAGGCTCTGTATTCAACCCCAGCCAAAATAAATAAATAAATACCACTTTACTCCATGTAGAACTGTTCAAGAAAAGAGTCTTGGGGTTAGGGATGTAGCTTAGTGGTAGAGCACCTCTCACCAAAAAAGACATGAGTCTTGACCCTCCAAAAAATTATGCCATTGATCAGATCCAGTTCATGTCCCTCCCTATTTGGGCAAGGTAAAATAACCACCCAAGTAAACAGTTCCTGTCTTTGTTAGTTAAGGGGCTTCCATATCAGATTCTTTATCTATACACACAGTACAAAGGAACAATTATTAAGACTTATAAAGCTTTATCCAACAATACTGCCACCTAAATCTTCCCATCTTCCAGTATGTATCCATTTAAACAAAGCTTTGTGAAAGTCCCCTATGTGAGTCTGACTTACTGAGACAAGAAGAAACAGCAACAGAGAAAAAGCTAGATGCACAACACAAAATAGGCCTGTAAATTGCCTCCTTCCCCATCTTATTCTATATAGTACTCAAGTATAATACCTGCATCTCAGAGAAACTAGAGATGTCTTTACCTTTGGGGGTAGTCAAGGTCCCCACAGTAGATAGATCATTTTCCAAGCCCTTTAAGTTTGCTCATTTTTCTCTACTGCAGTGATTCTCCAAGTGTAATACTTGTTAGAAATGCAAATTCTCTGACCCAAGACTTGACTTCCTAAATCAAGAAGTCTGGAGATGGTGTCCAAGAATCTCTTTTAACTGGTCCATTGTGGTGGGACCTGTGAGAGGACCAATATTCTAGCATATTGCTTTGGGATCTAGCTGCACACCAAAGGGGGAAAGGTGGTACAGGAAATTGTCCCTGGAGAGGAAAAGTAGTTTATGATTTATAATAATCATTGTTTAGAACTAATTATAATATTTAACAATGATTATTATTTAGAACTATTATTTAGAACTAATTATAATATTAAACAATGATTATTATTTATAATAATCATTGTTTAGAACACATTATGTAATGATGAAAAATAGAATGATTTTTTAAAGCCAACTCTTCTTAAAAACCATACAGTCTGAATTCCAACTGTTGCCTCTATTGCCTGCACCCTGAATGGACTAGTTCCACATCCCCACCACCACCATCTAGCAGACCCCTACCTTTGCTAGGCCATAGCTATTACCATCACTTTATGGGTAGACAGAGCATTCATTCCAGTATTAAGCTTCCTGGGCCTTCTTCCCCTTTAGATCCCCTCCATTGCCTTGGCCTACGAAAAAGCTGAAAGTGACATTATGAACAGGAAGCCTCGCCACAAGAAGAAAGACAGATTGGTAAACGAGCAACTTGCCGTCTACTCTTACCTGCACATTGGTATGATGAGGGAATTTCCTCCTTGTCACACAGGGCCCTCCCTAGAGAATTCATTTGAGTCCTAGGCACAGGCAGAATGTGTTTTTTTCCTTTCGGGTGGGGTTGGATGGCAAGAGAGGCTGAGAGGAGTCCCAGGACAAGCAAGGTAATTCTCTGAGGTCATCATATGTCTGTATCTCTTACTCCTTCAGGTCTCATGCAAGCCCTGGGAGCTTTCCTTGTATATTTCACTGTCTATGCACAAGAAGGCTTTTGGCCCACCTCTCTCATTAACGTACGGGTAGAATGGGAAAAAGATGATATGAATGACTTAGAAGACAGCTATGGACAGGAATGGGTAAGTTGAGAGCTCTGCCATCATCACTTAGTTATTACCTCCTTCCAAAGCCCTTCCTGAACCAAGATAGAACCTCTATTTTCCCAAACAGCCTTGAAACAAATTTTAGAAGCTGCTTAGTTAATAGTGTTGGTGGTTCCTCGCTGACACTGGTTTAGCCATTGCTGAGACTTAGCCACATTTCTCAAACTAAACCAAAAGTTCATTTTTTTAGTTAGCTTTGTCAATAGTGCACAACCAGTCCAACAGTTGGGCCAAATAAGTTTCTATCTTTTTCTATTCACCTGATTCAAGGAAAAAGATATTTCTTTCCAAACACAAGGAGGTAGTCCACCCTCAATCTGGCTGAGTTTGGAGAAGGAGTCAAGCTTTATAGAAGGGCAGTGGAATCCCCCTGAAATTCCCCCTCAAGGTCTCACATCTCATCTTTCTCTGCCCATTGACAGACAAGGTACCAGAGGAAATACTTAGAGTGGACAGGCTACACAGCCTTCTTTGTTGGCATCATGATCCAGCAAATAGCAGATCTGATCATCAGGAAAACTCGGAGAAATTCTATCTTCCAACAGGGACTCTTCAGGTACTTCCTATCCCTGACCTCATATATATAACCCACCTATGGCCATACTGTAATGCACAAGGTGCTGACTCCAGTGGCATGGTCTGCTGGGTACATGATCATGGAGCCACTGGAATTCAGAATCCATTTGCTTTTGTGTGTGTTGCAGAAATAAAGTCATCTGGGTGGGAATTGCCTCACAGATAATCATCGCACTGATCCTATCCTATGGCCTTGGGAGCGTCACAGCCCTGAGTTTTACTATGCTTAGGTGAGTTTGGCTTTAACAGCATAGAGCAAAGAGCCAGCCCCTGTTCTAAGTTGTTCTAAACAAACGCTAGGATTCTCACCAGCTCTTCCCAACAAAGTCTTTCCAAAGAAGTCAAACTGATTCCATGCTCTAAGAGCCCAGTCCTTGACCTACCTATTTTCCAAAAGAAGAAATGGGTTTTTCAGGCCTCACTAAGCCATCTCCACCCTCATCCAACAGGTTGTGTCAAAGGCAGATGTTGCTTTTAGCAGTCATAGTAAAGGTTAAATAAGGAGTTTTCCAGGTCTATGTTGTGTGATTCAGTGGATTTGTAATTCTTTTTAGTAAGGTAAGGAAAATGAAGATGAAGCTGCCCTACTCATTGGCCAGGGACTGGACTAACCCTTTGAATAAACTAGGGCTCATCTTCCTCCTCTCTGTTTTCAGGCCTCAGTATTGGTTCGTGGCTATACCACATGCTATCTTGATTTGGGTGTATGATGAAGTGCGAAAACTCTTCATCAGGCTCTACCCTGGAAGTGAGTAATGATGTGGTTTTCTTCTCTCTCTCTCTCTCTCTCTCTCTCTCTCTCTCTCTCTCTCTCTCTCTCTCTCTCATGCTGGGGATTGAATCCAGGGCCTCATGCATGCTAGCAAGCTCCCTACCATTAAGCTATACCTCTGGCCCAGCAATATGATTTTTTAACCTCTGTACCTCTTTCCACAGGCTTTCCATTTATTTATTTTTTTTTTCTACCTCTACAGGCTGGTGGGATAAGAATATGTACTATTAAGACCACATCACTCTCCAAGTTTCCCAGTAGCATATTGGGAATATTCTTCATCTTCTGGCTACTCACTGGGAGATCTCTTGCAGTACAGACATCATCAAATCTCAAGAGAGACATTCATATAGAAAACTATATGAAACATACTCATGTTTTGTACTTTAAATATGATTCAACTATTTATATAGAATTTTCATCTCTATCGCAATCTCCTTAATTTAAAATATGTGAACTTTTAGGTAGTGGTATAAGGAAAAACATGTTTATATGTATATAAAGTTCACTTTGTTAAATAGTCTAGTGTAACCCGGTATCTGCTGGGGTCTGCCTTAAACCAGTATAGGATTATTCAAACCTCACTCACTCATAATGACACCCCCCTCTCGAGATTTCTGTGAATCCTACCAAGAACATATGCTCATGGTCACCATGCTCACAAAAGGCTAACTTAGCTGAATGTTTGTGGGAGGTCAAAGTGGTAGCAGGCATACATCACAGCAGCACAGATGACCTCAGTTTTGACTCTGAGATCTCCTTCAGTTTGTGACAGTTTCCCTGGCCTTGTCACCCTATCCTGCCTCCTGTCACCTTCTCAGCCCTTTCATGTCCCACCCAGAACCCTCTCTATCATCTCCTCCAAACCAAAGCTCCAAGTCCATTTTGTATATCCTAACTCAGAATTCTCAACTCATCAAAGGGAACTTTATTTACCAGGATTAAACCTCAGCAGAAACCACTGTGGATTAAATAGTAATATTTATTTCTTAAAAAAACAAGCCTCCAGACTCTCTGGAAATGATTTTATGTCAGTCATGTTTTGGTTGTAATTTAGATATATTCATGTGTGACTCACATCATGTTAACAGGTCTGAAGAGGCCTGATTTTTTAGTAAAAAATGTTTTCTAAAACTAGATCTCATTGTGGTGTTCTAATTTAATTTGAGTTTTTCTAGGATGCAGAGCACAGTACACAAAAAAGATGCAATGTGATTTCCTTTTATTTATTTAGTTTTTCTTGCTCTTTCCAATCATTTTACTTATCCATGAAAGGTAAGATTTTCCTTCTGAACATTTTCTACATATACTTGCACTCTAGCCTGTGCTTCCATGCTGCCCACAACTCTTAGTCGAGACTCATTTCAGCAGTGGCACCCTAGGGAAAGTCATTTTCACAGCCTTTTCATCAATCACATACCCAGAACTAATTGATTTGATTGAACCTAAAAATTATATTTGGTTAAACTTTTTCCTAATGGTCTCTCCCCTAGTCTTTGACAGGAGGGCATCTGCTGCTGATGGCTCTAGGCTGATAGCTCTGGAACTAGGAAAGGGAAACTTAGAAACGCATGTTCTCATGGTTCACTTTTAGGAACATGAAAGAGGTAAGGGAGCCATCATAATTTTATGTAAATAGATTATAATGTCCAATGTGTATTGTGTGTGGTGACATTAAGCTAAAATAATGTCACCATTCTCATGGCTCTTAATCTCTAGGTTCAGCCACAATTATCGTGAGGTTAATCTCCCATTAGTAGTTCAGTGAGCTGGAAACCCTTTCCAGGGTAGTTGGGGCAGTGTAGGATTGCCTCATTCCAGTTCCAACAAGGCAGTTAAGGCTTTCCAGGCTTCATCTATGAATAATTTGTCATTTCTTTTTCCTGCCAGGTTGCCGGTAACACTTGGCAGCTCTTTGTCCTGCCAGAGCCAGCAGGAGGTTATTAACATGGCACAAAACTATAAAACTTACTTTGGAGCCTGTGCAGTGGCACATACCTGTAATCCCAGCAAGTCAGGAAATGGCTGAGGCAGAAGGATTGCAAGTTTGAGGCCAAAGTCAGCAATATAGTGAGACTCTGTCTCAAAGAAAAAATAAAAAGAACTGGGGATGTAGGTCACTGTTAAAGCACTCCTAGTTTCAATCGAAGGAAGGAAGGAAGGAAGGAAGGGAGGGAGGGAGGGAGGGAGGAAGGAAGGAAGGAAGTAAGTTTATTTGGGATAGGAGTAAGCTTGAAAAGATTTAAATTTGAAGAAGCTTCTTAGCAGGAACTCTATCTAGAATTACTTTTATATGTTCAGTTACCTATTCTTGCAAAATATTTGTAAAATGAACAAATAACTAACTTAAGGAATCCCATAAATGAGATGCGTATAACAAGTAGCTTTATGAAGTTGCAGACTGAAAAAGGAGATAAAATCCTGTCTTAGGGTTCTGTTTTATTTTGTTTTCAGGGTATAGTACTTAATTACCCCAGAAAGGACTAGCTTTTAGAAAAAAATAATAATAAGCCAGATGTGGTAGCTCATGCCTGTAATCCCAGTGGGAAGCTGAAGCAGGATGATCACTAGTTCAAAGCCAGCCTCAGCAATTTAACAAGGCACTAAGCAACTTAGCAAAACCCTGTCTCAAATAAAAAAAAATTTTTTTTAATAAAAAAAAGGACTGGAGATGTGGCTCAATAGTTAAGCACCCCTGGGTTACTCTCCAGTACCAAGAAGAATAAAGTTAATTTAAACCTAGGTGTGGCAAAGTAACTCAAAGATATAAAGACTATGCTTAATTTATACACATGTACTTTTTTGTTGGTACTGAGGATTCACCAAGTCACTAGGATTACAGGCATGTATCACCATACCCAACCCACATTTACTTTTTAAAACTTTTTGTTTATTCTGATTATAAAATTGTAGCTCACTTAAGAAAATTTGGAAGGGTGTGTACCTATATTCCGAGATACATTCAGATACATGCCAAGGCATGAGGATTGTTCCAGGAGTTCCCAGCCAGCCTGGGCAACAGAGATCCTTCCTTTAAAAAAAGAAGAAGAAAAAGAAGGAGAAGGAGAAGAGAAAAGAGAAAGAAAATATGGAATAAACAAGAGTAAAAAGAAAATTAAAATCATCATGAATTTCACTAGTTGTTACTATACATAAATAAAAGAATAGTTCTTTCTTTGGGTTTTTTTTCCTAAGCATATGTTTAGGCAAAATTTAAATATACTCTTCTGCCTTTTTATTTAACATTGAAAATTATGTTAATGGGGCCAGGGGTGTAGTTCAGTGGTAGAGACTTGCATAATATGCATGAGGCCCTGTGTTCAATCCCCAGCAGTGAAGAAAAATTTAAAAAAGAAAGAATGCTAATGACTCTATGGTATATTATATTGAGAGTGTTCTAACTATATAAATGTATTTCTACTATTCATCTTTCTTTAAAAGGCTGCACCTTATCCTTAAATCTTTTACCACATCTCCAATTATTTTTTTAGATTTCTCAGAAATGGAATTAAAAACATTTTAAGGCTCTCATTGCACATTGCCAAATTTATCTTCAGCTTATGCTATGCCAATTTACTTTCCCAACAGTAATAATAAAAAGAACATTTATCTTGTCTGACATTAGGATATGAAAGATCGGTTAATTATAAGAGATTTTTATTCATTCAGCAAAGATGTAGGAAGTGCTCCTGTATAACCTTAGAACACAGCAAGGAGCAAGACAGAATGGGACTAGGGAGGTAGCTCAATGGTAGAATGCTTATCTAGCATGTGCTGAGGCTCTGAGCTCAATCCCCAGCATTATCACCACCAAAAAAGAAAAAAGGTATCATGAAGCTAGCGCTCCAGTAAAAGAACAGGAGAAAATATGATAAACTGTAATAAAGAATTTGGCAAAGACATAACAAGGCTCAGATAGTTATAGGATCGGTTGAAGGTGGGTAAGCCTGTTTAAAAAGGATGGTAAGGAAAGCCCTTATTCCAGAGGCAAATGAGAATGAGTATAAATGGAAGAGGTTCCCAGAAAGGAAATCGAGACCTCAACTCAGCCATAGAGGGTTATTGACTTACACCACAGAGAGGAATTTCAGGGTGCCTAAGAAGAGGAACAAGAAATTTTTGTTTTGCTTTGTTTTTTAGGAAAGGAAGGAAATTTATTTAGAAAAACAAACAAAAGCAGGATATATACTCAAAAGGAGAGGGAGTGCAGGCACTCCAGAGCTAGATCTGCTTCAGCAGCCTCCGGCTTCTTTTAAAGGAAACAGGGACCAGGAAATTCATAAGGGGTGGCATCAGCCTAATGAACTGGATTCCTTTGATTGTGGTGCACAGAGTAGGCCTACTGGTCTGGTTCTTTTCAAAATCTTCAGGTTAACATTATCTAGTTAATATATAACACTTGGACAATACCCATATCATGGGTTCTCTAGGCTTCTTTTAATCAGTCTAAAAATTCATTCTGGCCAGGCTGTGGTGGCACACACCTGTAATCCTAGTGACTTGGGAGGCTGAGGCAGACAGATTTCAAGCTCAAGGCCAGTGTGGGCAACTTACTGAGACTCTGTCTCAAAATTAAAAGGGCTGGGGATGAAGCTGAAAGGCAGAGCACCCTTGGGTTCCATCTCCAGTACCTCAAAAAATAAAATACCTCCTGTAAACTAACAAAGTATACAGGCACTAATTAACTGTACTCTAATATTTTCTAGACCTTTTAAGGATTCAGGCCTGGAGGAAAACAGGTCTGGGGATTGAAAGCAAAGGCATTCATAGAGTGTTTAGATTTAAAGCTATGGTCTGTCTTTCCATTTCTGTCTCCTTTCTACCTATCCTTATTTTTTCTATCCAACCTCAGGAGCAGCCACTGCTAAGAGCAGAGAGAATTCTAGGACAAGGAGAGAGCATGCCCCAAAGCTCTGGGAGGACAGAGTATGACCCAGCAGAAACAGGAACAGCAATGGGAAGCTGGAGAAAATAGGAGGCATTTTATAGGTCTCAAAGACCATGTGATTCAGTTGGATTTCATTAGAAATAAACTATTGAAGATGATTCATAAAGGCAGGGTCCTGATCACAGTTGATTTGTTAAGATTAATTTGGCTTCTGCACAGGATGGAGGAAGAATGGAGGCAAGAGGTGAGTACATCAGCCAGGATAGCCATGATTTCACCTAGGTTGTGGTGAAGAATGTGGAACCACTAGGAGAAGCAGCTGGCTGTGTGAGCAAGTGTGTGTGTTTGTGTGTACCTTAAACTGGTTAAACAGATTCCTATGGAGTAATTTTGTAAGGAAGATCACCTGTAGATGATTCCAGACATGTTCAATTCAATT